TCCTTCATTGGCAGGAGGATTCTTTACCAGTGAGCCACCAGGGAAGCCATCACAAGGCCTTTTATTTCTTTTTCTTGTCTTATTGCACTGGTTAGAACTCCTAGTACTATTTTGGATAAGAGTTGTAAGTGTTGGCATTCTTAGCTTTTCCTGATCTTAAGAGAAAAGCTCAGTCTGTCACCACTGAATATGATGTTAGTTGTAAGTTTTTTGTAGATACTTGTCATCAAATTGAAATTTTCCCTCAATTCCTAGTTTATCAAGGTTTTTGGGTTTTTTTTAATCATGATTAGCTGTTGGATTTTGTTCTCTGCATTTATTGAGATGATCATGTGATTTTTGCTTATTTAACTTATGTGCAGAGTACATCACACAAAATGCCATGCTGGATGAATCACAAGCTGATGAGTTGCTTTCTCCTACTGCTTTCAGGAGTTTGTGTTCGTCTTTTAGCAGTTTGACTGTCATGTGTCTAGGTGTGAGTATCTTTCTATATATCCTATTAAGATTCTTGGATTGGTAAATTAATGTTTTTCTCATAAAATCTGGAAAGTTTGAGGCCATTACTTTTTCAAAAAACTTTTTCCTGTTCCTTTTCGTCTTTCCTTTCTCCTGGATGTGTATGTGTTGTATGTGTATTCTTAATGGTATCTCATGGGTCTCTGAGGTGCTGTTCATTTTTCTTCATGCTTTTTTCCTTTCTGTTCTTCAGATTGGATAATGTTTACTGATCTATCTTCAAATTCACTGATTCTTCCTTTGGCCAGTTCATATCTGCTGTTGAGGCCCTCTAGTGAAATTTTCATTGTAGTTATTGTGTTTCCAGCTCATAATTTCCATTGGCTTTTTAAAAATCATTTAAAGATATTGATAATCTTAACTTGTTGAGTCGTCATCACATTAAAAAAAAATCTTTAAACATGGTTTCTTTTTGTCTTTTGGACATATTTACAGTAGCTGCTTTAATTCTTTGCCCGCTAACTCCATCATCTGAGCCCCCTCAGGGACAGTTTCTAGGAACCTTTCTTTTTTTCTTCCTGTGTATGTCCTAAATTTTTTGTTTCTTTGTCTGTCTTATAAAACTTTATTAAAAACTGGGCATTCATAATATGTTGTAGTAAGTAACTCTGGACTCTGACCCCCTCCTTGCCTTAATGTATGTGTTTATTGATGTTGGCATTTGTTTGCTCAGCACCCAACCTGGATGAATTCTATATGGTCTGTTTCCCCTGCAGTGTGTTGCCACTGGTATCTCTACTGGATTTTTTTGGTTTTATTGGCCACACTGAGACATGTGGGATCTTAGTCCCCTGACCAGGAATGGAACCTGTGCCCCTTGCATTGGAAGCACAGAGTCTTAACCACTGGACTGCCAAGTCAGTCCTCTACTAGATTTTTTTAAAATCTTTTTTTTAGGGAATTCCTTGGTGGCTCAGTGGTTAGGACTCTGCACTCTCATGGCAGAGGGCTGAGGTACAATCCCTGGTTGGGGAACTTAGATCCCACAAGCCATGTGGCAAGGCCAAAAATAAAACCTTTTTTTATATGCAAGCCTGGTTTCCTAAGACTTATCCCTGGGCCATTATAGTTTAATGGCCAGCCAGTTATTGGTTAGCGATTATGCTTAAGTCTACTGAACCAGAAAGGCCTCCACCCTTTGCAGTTAGCTCAAGCAGTTTTTGTTTGGGCCCAGCTTTTTCCTTGCACAAAGCCTCTTCTTCAGTCAGGCAGGAGTATATAGCTGTGGCCAGCTCTGGTCTTTCCTTGCTATATGCACAGCCTAGCAAATTACTATCTTATCAAGGCCCACATGGCTAGCTCATTTACTGAATTTCTTTGTTAAATTTATGGCTGGACTATTGCTTTCTGCAACCAGTATCAGGCAGCCAAGATACAGGTTTCTACCCAGTTGTCTGGGGCTTCTCCGGTGGCTCAGACAGTAAAGAATCTGTCTGCAATGTGGGAGACCCAGGTTCAATTCAGTCCTTGGGTCAGTAAAATCTCCTGGAGAAGAGAAAAGTTATCCAATCCAGTATTCTTGCTTGGAGAATTCCATGGACAGAGGAGCCTGGCAGGCTATAGTGCATGCGGTAGAAAAGAGTCAAACCTGACTGAGCGACTAACACTTTCACCCAGTTGTTTGCTACTGTGATTACAATTGTTTTCTGGGGCTTTCCCTATTTCCCAGTCTAGCCAGCTCTCTCCAGAGTCTGTAGGAACTAGAGGCCCTCAAGGCCTACCAGGCTCTGGTGGAATTACCAGTGGGAGGAAGGAAATAAAAATTGTACAATACTGAAATCACAGGCTCCCACTGGTCTTCTCATAGATGTGCAGTTCTTTTTTTTTTTTTAATAAGTGCTTTTCACTGGTATGAAATTTGATCAACTTCCAGAGTCCTGAAATGGTTGCTTTTAACAATTCTGTCCAGTTTTATCTTTGCTGTTTTGGGAAGAAATTTGGTGAGCTCCTCAATCTGCTGTGCCACAAATCCCACCCACATATGTAAGTTTAAAATTTCCAGTAGCCACATTTCGAGAAAGTTAAAAAGATAAAATTAATTGCAATGATATATTTAACCTGCAAAGAGATAAAAAGAAAAAGTGTTAGTCTTAGTCTCTCAGTCCTGTCTGACTTTTTATGACCCCATGGACTGTAGCCCACCAGGCTCCTCTGTCCATGGAATTCTCCAGGTGAGAATGCTGGATTGGGCAGCTTTCCCCTTCTCCAGGGAATCCACCCAGGGATCTAACTGGTGTCTCCTGCATTGCAGGCAGATACTTTACCATCTGAGCCACCAGGGAATTTGCCGTATTAGGCACTCATATGTAACCTAATGTAATATAAAAAATATTATTTCAACATATCAATATTTTTAAAATTATGAATTAACTTTTACTTTTTTTCCCCTAAGTCTTTGAAACCTGGTGTGTCTTTTTCCTGTTATAGCACATTTTAATTCAGACCACATTCCAGCACTCAAGATGTGACAGCTGGCTGCCATACTGGACACACAAGGATGGATATTTGATCTTAGGAAATAGGGATTTTTCAGGTGTGTTAATGATATTGTTCTAAAAATTCCTGTCTTTGGAGGATCCTGAGATACTTAAGGATGAAATGGTAAAATGAAACTTGGTTCTGCTAGAGGAAAAACTTTCCCTCTTCCCTTTTGGGACTGTGTTTAGGGGTCCTGCAAATAAAATTGACAAAAGACAGGTGAACAGGAAGAAGGTATATTCACACCCTCTGGCGGATACAGAGGACCGACACTCAGTAATCTGAGGTAGAGGTTTCTGTAACCGAAGGTAATAGGAGAAAGGGAGGGAGAGGGGGAAAACGAGGATCAATCGGTTTCTTTAGGAAAGGGAAGAGAGTATTTAGGAGAACGAACAGGAGGTAAGTAAGGTTGTTATATTCGCTAAGCCGGTGACTCTCGCATGTCTTAAGTTTACAATGAAGACTCCTGTGGGTCTGGGAGGCCGAGTGCGGCGCTTTGGGGGCCGCGGGCCAGGAATTTCACGCGGTGTTTGCTTTCCGAAATTAAACAGAGATTTTTGGTCCTTCGAAGACTTTTATGAGATTCCGCGTGGGGGCCGAGGCGAGGACTTTAGCCCCGAGCCTCTGCTGGGGAGGGCGGGGGTTCGGGTACGGTGGCACCCGGGCGATAACCAGCCCCCTCAAGCGAGGGGAGAGCCCCAGCGGCCCCTGTCCGGCCCTACCGCTGCGAAACTGCCCCACCGCGCCGGGCGGGGTCGACTTCTAGCCTACGACCCCCACCCCGCACACCGCCCCTCCGCCGCGCGGCGGGCCCTTCAGCAGCCGGGTGCGGTTTCCCGGGAATGCGTTTCCTCAGCACCGCGGGCCGCCCGGAACTGCCTGACGGAGCACCTCCCAGCGGCCCCAGCGCGGAGCCCTGGGCCCGGCGGCGGCCCGGTGGCGGCCCCAGCGTGGCGGTCTTACGCCGTGGCGCGAGCCCAGGAGCCCCACTCCGCGGTACCCTAGCCGCATCCGCGGAGCTCCCGGTGGGGCCCCTGGCGGGCCCCTGGCTATCCCCGCCGGCCCCGAAGGGCCCAGCTGCGCAGAGAGGAGCTTCGACCCGGCTCGGGCGCCCAGGTGGCTCGGCTCCGCCCAGGTAGGTAGGTTCCCTTCAAGTTTGACCCGCGGTTCTCTGGGGCCCCGGGGCTCTTCCTTTGGGTGGAGGTGGAGGGCCCTGCGCTCGGCGCCTCGTGTCCAGGCCTCTATGGGCATCATATTGATTTTTACATGTCGCTTCACAGTTTCCGAAAATAAACCCACAGCTGGGCGCTTGGGCAGTTGTTAAGCCGATGACCCTGCTTAATAATTCCCAAAGTAGTACAGGAGGAGGTGGGTGTTCTCTGACAGTCCCTCGTTACGATCTGATCCTTTGAGGTTTCAGTTGTAATTCCCAGGCCACCTACCACCTGTTAAGTCACTGTAGGGATCGGTGGCTCTGATAAGGTTGGCCAGGCGTGCGTAAGAGAAGCCAGAGGGAACGTACTTTTAGTGCTTTTATACAGTTGACACCCAGAGGAGGGCACAGTGTCCAGGTGACTGCCATGGGCTGCTTGGTGGGCCCGGAGGGCAGCGTCACCACAGGGTGGTCCTGCCTTGGTGGGGATCTCCAGGTCTTGTGGGTTGTAGCTGCCTTTTGTGATGGCCTCCCCTGACAGGCAAAGCACTGACAGGATATCAATCACTGTTCCATTTACTCTTCATGCCAGTCCTGCCAGGCAGACATCTTAATCCCGCTAAGAAGTGAGAGGTTAAAGCTCAGAAAGTTTGAGTAACCTGCCCACGGTCTCCACTGGAAGGCGACAGCAATGAGGCGTCAGCTCCTGGCCTGCATCAGCCGACACCCTTAGCACCCGCGTTTGTGACCGTCAGGCAGCCCTAGAGCAGCCTTGAGGGGGGTCACCTCCTGCACCTGTGCTCCACTGGCTGCGGCTGGGCCCATGGTCTTGCCCTTCAGTGTGGAGGCAATGCCAAAGCTGGAAGGCTTTGAGTTCTGGAGCCGCACCCTGGGGGGGGCCCGCCACGTAGTGGCCCCCATGGTGGACCAGAGCGAGCTGGCCTGGAGGCTGCTGAGCCGCCGACACGGGGCCCAGCTGTGCTACACACCCATGCTGCATGCCCAGGTTTTTGTCCGTGATGCCAACTACCGAAAGGAGAACCTGTACTGCGATGTGTGCCCCGAGGACCGGCCTCTCATTGTACAGGTTAGCAGCCCAGCCTCCAACGCTGGCCGAGAACCTTTTCCTGGGCCTTTCCAGAAAAGGCTTCCCGGCTTTCCGAGATCAGAGGGGCAAGGGCAGGCCAGTTCTTACAGAGGTTGATCTCTTCCCAGTAGCTGCCTCAGACTTTTGGCAAGTGGATGGCTTGGGTGCTGTGGAAGATTTGCAGCCCCTCCCTCCCCGCCCTTGACATCATCACAGGTGCCCCCCTCTTTATCAGACAGACAGAACAGCTCTGCTCTTGGCAAAGTCAGTGATACTGGCTTTCTGCTACATCTGGGAGGATTGTGTGAATCTGTAACTTGCTCTACTGGTGGCACGGGGGTGCATCCTAGCTTGGTCATGTTGCTTTTTTTTTGGCCACACTGTGTGGGATCTTAGTTCCCCAACAAGAGATTTGAACTCGTGTCCCATGCAGTGGAAGCATGGCGTCTTAACCACTGGACCACCAGGGACGTTCTCTAGCTTGGTCATATTGTAAACATCTAAGATAGGATACCATCCTGCAGTCATCCCCTGGGGCTACGCTCCCACCTATGAACCCCTGGGCAGCCCCGGTGCCAGGGCCTGGCTGGTGCTTGTGGCAACAGTCATGTCTCTTCCAGTTTTGTGCCAATGACCCAGAGGTGTTTGTCCAGGCGGCTCTCTTGGCTCAGGACTACTGTGATGCCGTCGACCTGAATTTGGGCTGCCCGCAGATGATTGCCAAACGAGGTAAGAGTTCCTGTTCTGGGGTTCTGCGTTGTGTACCAGCTTTTGGCTAGGGCAAGGCTTGGAGTGCAGAGATGCCAGATGTGTGGGTGAGCTGGCTGAGGGCCTTCCTCTGGCAGCTTTCTGATGTGGGCCCTTTCTTTGTTCCTCCCTCTGCAGGGTGGCCCTTCTCGGTCACTGAGGGTAGGGGACAAGGTTCACCTGGCCGTCAGGGGCTTGTTACTTCCTCCATGCTCAGGAAGTTGTGGGGCTCCCTCTGGATAAATGTGTTTTGCTAAAGAGTCCCTCCTCCACCCTTGTGCTGCCTCGGGCACCAGTGGCCACTGCCCTGGCCTCTCAGCCTTTCTCCCTCACTGGCCTGGGGAGTTCCTGGTTGATCAGAGACCACGTGGGGTGGGCACTCAGCTCAGCACCCTTGAGCTCAGGCCACCGAACTGAAAGAATGTGGCCAGGCAGGTCGAGGCCAGTGTGGATGCAGGGGGAGGGTGCAGAGGCTGTGCTTGTTCTTTGCAGGTCACTATGGCGCCTTCCTGCAGGAGGAGTGGGACCTGCTCCAGAGAATGAGTGAGTTGGCCGTGTGCTGCCCTTGGGGACTTGGGGCCACATTGTGGTTGGGTGGCAAGTCCGAGACAGCCCAGCAGGGCTCAGGAGAGGACAGTAGCTGGCAGAGTCCTCCTGGCCTTGGTGTGCCCTCCCCCTTCCTGCTGTAGAGGGCGGCTGTGAAGTCGCCTGTCCCATACCTGTTGCCCTCCTTCAAACCAAATAGACGGTGTACTGGAGGGAGGCATCCTTGCCTGGACCACCTCTTCCAGTGTGGTTGGAGGCACAACTCACAGCTCCCTGTTACCAATGCAGGACGTCTGTGGAGCCTGTGTTCCTTTGGGGGCTTAGCCATGGGTCCCCACAGCCTACTTGAAGGTGGCAGCACAGTTCTCTCAGAAGCCAACTCTGCCCTTCCCCAGTTCTGCTAGCCCACGAAAAGCTTTCTGTTCCTGTCACATGCAAGATCCGCGTCTTCCCAGAGATCGACAAGACTGTGAGATATGCCCAGATGCTGGAAAAGGCTGGCTGCCAGGTGAGCACGGTGGGCTTCCAGGGCTCCAAACTGCTTCCGCACTTCCAGAAACGCCCCTTGAGGGCTTGCCCCTGGGATGGGCAGGAATCGGTGACCTTCAGGTGAGGCCTGATGCAGGCAGGGAAGTCCCATGCTTGCGTCCAGGAGGCCAGTATTGCCTAGGGTTGGTGTTGGGCCTGAATCACCTTCTCCCCACCCACCCCCACCAGTCCTGGGGTCAGGCTGGTGCTTGCTCCTCCCTCACACCTTTGGCCTTGGCAGCACTCCTGCTGGCACTGCAAAGAGGACTGGCCCTTGAAAGTATTTGGGCTCTCACTTCCACATCCTGGGTGGCATAGAGGGACAGCTCTGACATGGGATTCCTACGCAGCACTCCCAGGGTGTCAGCTGGCCCAAGTGTGGCCCAGAGGAGTGAGGGAGGCTGATGCCCGAGAAGCCAAAGGCAGAGAGTCCCCTGGAGTGTTGGGGGCTGCAGTTGAAAGCGGAGCTGAACCAGGTGCTCCCATGTTCTAGCTGCTGACTGTCCATGGGCGCACCAAGGAGCAGAAGGGGCCCCTGTCAGGCACCGCGTCCTGGGAGCACATCAAGGCTGTGCGGTGAGTGGGCACGGGTGGGCCCAGGGCGGGGAGACAGCCCAGCCCCGGGGCAAGGCTCTCAGGCCTCTGGGCACGAGGCGAGGGCGCAGGGCCTGAGGGCGAGCAGCTCAGTGGGAAGGTGGAGTTTGGGGGCCTGGTACTGCCCCCAGGGTTGGGGGAAGCAGCATCCTTCTGAGTGTGTGCTCATCCTGTTCCCCGACAGGAAGGCGGTGGCCATACCTGTGTTTGCCAACGGGAACATCCAGTGCCTGCGGGATGTGGAACGCTGCATCCAGGACACGGGGGTGCAAGGGGTCATGAGTGCAGGTGAGGCTGTGCCCTCGCCTGCAACTGGGCCACCACTGTCAGGTGCTGGAGGGGTCCGTCCACATCGTGGCACCACTGGCCCAGCTGAAGAGCCTCAGGCTTCACGCGGTCATCACCGAAGCCCCCATCTGCCCGACTGGCCAGCAGTCTCAGGCCAGTGGCCAGCCTTGCCCTGGGGATGGCCAGGCACAGGGGCCCTGAGCCTTGCATCACCTTCCTCTGCAGAGGGAAACCTGCACAACCCTGCCCTGTTCGAGGGCCGCAGCCCTGCCGTGTGGGAGCTGGCCGAGGAGTACCTGGACATTGTGCGGCAGCACCCCTGCCCCCTCTCCTACGTCCGGGCCCATCTCTTTAAGCTGTGGCACCACACGTGAGTCAACCCCCATGGCAGATGCTGTCTGATCTGAGCCTTGCCTGGGGCCTTTGGGGTTTTTAAGATAAGCTCTCTACAGACATTCACAAAATCACCACCTGCCACCAAGTCAGGTCTGGGAGGACCGCAGTGATGTGGTGAGGTTGGGGGGGAGGAGGGATTGTGCCCCTCTGTGCCAAAGGCTCAGGGTCAGCAGTTGGGAGGTAGGGGCTGAGCCGGCTCTCTGATGGAGCATCTGTATTAGGCTGCAGGTGCATCAGCAGCTTCGAGAGGAGCTCGCCAAAGTGAAGACCCTGGAGGGCATTGCTGCAGTGAGCCAGGAGCTAAAACTGCGGTGTCAGGTAGGTGCTAGGCCACCATGTGGTGGGAGAGACTTGGTCTTGGGCCTCTTAACTGAGAGCCCTTTGGGCTTTTCCAGGAGGATATATCCAGGCAGAAGGAGGGAGAGAAGCCTTCAGGAGGCTTGCCTTTCTTCCACTGGATCTGCCAGCCCTACTTCCGGCCAGGGTGAGCCTCCTGCACATGGGCTGACCTGGGTGGGAGGTGTTACACAGAGGAGGGGACTCTTCTGCCTGCTGCCCAGCCTTGGACGTGCTGGAGGCTCAGCTCCATCCCTTGGTGACTAGGGGCCTCCTTCCTTATCAGCCTGTGCTGTTTTATTTAAATTGCTTTTTCCATATGATGCTTCTCTAAGGTCCTCTGACCCTGAGTGGATTTGTCCTGGGATCAGCTAGACCCTCTCTAGCTTCCTCTGGACTTTCTGAAGTGAGGCTGGGCTGTCATCTGTAGCCAGAGCTCTACTCAGGGTTCAGACACTGGTGTCCCAGCCTCCGCGCTGGCTGCTGGGGCCTCAGCAGAGCTGCACATACGTCCTCACCTAGGGACTGCAGCTGGTGGGCTGCCTCTCATGGGTGTCCCTCAGCTCTGCCCACCTTCCCCGCTTTCAGGCCCAAGGAGGGGAGCAAGGAGAATGGGGGTGCCCGCAGCAAGCGGGCCCTGGAGGAGGAGGAGGGCACCACGGATGTCTTATCCAAGAACAAGCAGAAGAAGAAGCTGAGGAACCCCCACAAGACCTTTGACCCTTCGCTGAAGCGTAAGTGGCTCCCACCACTGGAGTTTGGCAAAAAGGCCAGCCCCTAACGGGTCCCCCAGGGTCACATGGCTCTGCTGCTTCCTACGCTGTGGGCAGTCCAGCAGGAAGGGCCCTGCAGCCCTTCCACATGCCCCAAGGAGACTGGCAGTTTCCCTGAGGCCACAGCCAGCCAGCCATCCTGCCTTCCACTGTCCCTTAACTGTTGCCCTAGGGCAGCTAGAGAGGCAGGAGTAGGGCTAGGGGCTGCCGTGCCCAGGAAGGACCTTCAAGTGAGATGAGGTTTCCCAGTAGGACCATGTATGCAGAAATGTATGCTGTGTCCTCTGCCCACCCCAAGAGAGCAGGGACACCTACCAAAGGCTACATGTAAAAGGTGGCAGTGGTGGGTGGCCTCACCTAGTTCCAACAGCACCTCCTTTCGCTCTTTTCTCAGCAAAATACGCAAAGTGTGATCAGTGTGGAAACCCAAAGGTGAGTCCGTCCGTCCCGGCTATTAAAACCTAGGGCAGAGCTCAGCCCCAGGAGCGGTGGGGACCTGCACGGGGAGTCCTTTGTCTATCTGTGCTGGTGGCAGCCGGGTCACCGCCCATGGTAGGGGGGCTTCTTTCCTGTAAAGTAGCTCTGCCTGGCCTCAGGACAGCTCTTCCATGCTCCTGGCCACTCAGGCTACAGGGTGGCTGAGGAAGGGGTATTAGCCCCTGGCTCACAAGCTTTTCTGTGTCCAGGGCAACAGGTGTGTGTTTAACCTATGCCGGGGCTGCTGCAAGAAGCGAGCTTTCAAGGAGACTGCCGACTGCCCAGGTGAGGAGTGCCTGCTGCCATCACCACCACCCCGTTCCCCAGTGGGCAGTGGAGCCTCAGCCTCCTGAGCCCCATTTCCCTCCTCCTGCCCCTCTACCAGGTCACGGACTGCTTTTTAAAACCAAATTGGAGAGGTCTCTGGCCTGGAAGGGTGCCCAGCCACGGCTGCAGGAACCACAGCAGGCCGGGCCTGGAGAACCAGGTGGCTTCCCTGAGGTTGTGGGCGGTGCCCTGGCCTAAAATGGGCAGCTACAGCCCCATGTGCTACCCCCCAGGCCTGCTGCTGAAGCCTCAACTGACGTCCCACTTAAGGAAACGCCTTTACTCAGGGAACCTCCTGCTACTTCACACGGAAGGACAAGCTGGTCTTCCCTTCGGCCCATGCTGGGGGCCCGGAGATGCTGTACTGAGGAGCAGGCTCCCAGGCTGGACCTGCCCTCCTCACAGCCCGCGTGTGTTCAAAATGAACAATAAACCATTTCAAAGATGGGATGTTCCCAGGCTTTTTGATAACATGAATGTTACTGGGGCCAATGGGGGCCGACCTTAGAACAGGGAAAGTGGGCAAGGCACCTCCTGCCTTCATCTTAGCCATGGAGACCTGACTAAGGGAGGGCCACGCGCTGGCTTCCACCCCGCAAAGCCAAGTAGAGTGTGAGGAAAGGGGGCCCCATGAAGACAGGAAGGAGTGGTACCAGGGGCTGTTCTCAGGCTGCCCTTTAATGGACTAAGATTCAACAACGCTGCAACCTCAAACGATGCATCAACATGGAGGCTGGGAGGCAGTGCTCCCAGTGGGCGCCCCAGGTGACATGTGGGTGAGCCCTGTGGGCTTCTCCTTCAAGGAAAGCCCACCTCCTCCCCAGGCCCCCGGCACAAGGTGCAGCGAGGGGGAGGGGCACAAGAATCTGGGCACATGGAAGCCCAGGCAGGGGCACCAAGGACTAGCATCAGTCAGCAGCCAGACCCCTGCAAGTGGGCCACAGGCAACACCTCGGGGGGTGCCGCTGGAGCAGATGAGAGGCCCAGGAGTCCGAGGGTGGGGGGTGGACAGGGTGGGGGTGCGCAGACCATCCTGGAGGTGGAGGTTGCTCTTACATGTTGGTGCTCATCCGGGACTGGCTGTTGGCCGGTGTCAGCTCCCCTTGGCTCCCTTCCCGGGGAGGGGACTGCAGTGGAAACAAGGCTCAGACCAGGAAGGTGTGCGTACCTGTCCCATCCCTCCAGTCCCAGGGCTGTCCCTGCCCACACCTTGACGTGGATCTGGTTGCGCAGAACGGCCGCCCGCAGGATCATGGCTTTGGCACGGCGCTGGAACTCCTTGCCCATCAGCAGAGACTTCTCAAAGGTGGTGCTGCGTTGATCTACGTCCCGGGCATACAGGATCTGTGGAGGTGCAAGCTTCAGTGGGGCCCAAGGTCCCTCTCCCGCACCCCACGGCCCTGAGTCCGGCCACCTTGCTGTGGGAGTCAATGCGGGCATTGATGAGCCCCTCCAGGATGAGCTGCGTCAGCTCATCCTCCAGCGCCGCCACTGTGGTATTGAAGGCTGTGGCCATCTTGCGCATGTCAGCTGACACGTAGGGGCTGAAATACTGCAGAGCAGAGGGAACGTGAGTTACTCAAAGACGCCTCCATAGCGCCCGGCCTCGTCCTCCACCAGAATGCTTACCTGAATGAGGGCCCGGTTGCGAATCTGTGTGTACAGGGTCCTGACGTGGGGAGCCAGGTACATGTCTAGCAGCAAGTTGTCCTGGCAAGGACAGCCAGTCAGGGACAGCTTGCCCCAGGCCTTCTGAACTTGCCCGCCCTTCCAGCCAGGCCATGCCCCTCACCTTCATCTCATCCAGCATCTTCAGGCATGAGGCATACTTGGACTCGTAGAATTTGAAGATAATGTCCCGAACCTGTGGCTCCAGCTCCAAGAACAACTTGAAGGAGCTGCAGATACCAGATTCCTCAGAGCTGACCCTGCCCACCCACTACCCTGGAGGCGGCCAGGGGCACAAGAGCAGAGCTGTAGGGCCCAGCACCCCACCCTCCACCCACCTGCTAGAGATGACATTGCGCTGCAGCTCCTGCCGGTCAAAGGTGGCCAAGGCGCACAGGCCGCCATACACGGCCACGTTGCTGGGGGAGAGCAGCTGAGGAGCAAGGGAGGTGATCAGAGACTGGGGGTCAACGGCAGGCAGCACAGAAGTCTGGGCCAGGCCCACCCTATCTCACCCATTGCCCCCTCAGAATGCCTAAGACCTCATGACGATGAGCCCCCAACAAAGAGCCCAACTCTTGAGCCCTTAGCCTGCTTCCCAAGTCCCAGTGAGGTCTCCTCCCCAGAGACCTCACGTCCCTCACCTCAGGGAAGTCGCAGTGGTCAAAGGAAGCCAGCAGAAAGCACTTGGCCGCCTGCTTGTACTTGCGTGCTGCCAACTCAGCCAGGCCTGGGGGCGGCAGGGAGGAAGGATGAAGCCCAGAGGAAGCTGCCTGTCGACAGGCACACCTGGGACAGAAATGCTGGCGAGGGAGAGGTAGCCTCATCGGCCAGCATCAGCAGCTTTCTGTGAGAGCCAGGCACCCAAGGAGGCCGAGCAGCTGCTGTTACTACTGCAAAGGGCACCCGAGCTGTTCAGCTGACAGGGTGGGAATGGGGTGAAGGTGGGGATGGGGATGGAAGTGGGGGTAACCAACCAGGATGGCAGCTATCAGAAGGCAATGCCTCTACCCCCAACCACGGGTTCCTACCTCCTGACCTCCCTGAGAGGCACATGAGTCAGGCAAGTATCTGGTGCATGCAGCACAGGTTTGGGGCTTGTGCGTTTCCTGGGCTGGGGTCAGCTGGGGTGCCCTCCTGCCCCTATGCCCTGGGGTCCTCACCTGCTGCACATTTGAGCTTGGTGAGGATGGCCTGAGTCTGGGTGTCACGCTCCCCACGCTGCTGCAGGAGAAGGTGCCAAAAGTGAGTGACACATGCCCTCCATACCCTCAACTCCCAGGCGCCCGGCTCCAGCCTAAGAGGAGCAGAGGCAGACTCCAGGAAGAGAGGGCCCACCAGGGTCAGTAGTAGTCAGGAATCCTGGATCAGGGTTTGAGGGGCAGAGAGCTATCTTTTTACCTCTGCGATTTCCGGGGTGGACTCTGCCTTGCTGACGTAGCTCAGCACATGAGACCAATTCTGCAAGTAGACGCTGACCTGGCAGGCAGGTGGGATGCACTCAGCCTGGGCGCCCCCTCCTGGTCCACTGGCATTGCTGCCCCGTGGCCACCCACCCTGGGCCCACCTTGATGACATTGAGGCACATGTTAATAACATGCTTGGCGCTGGTGCAATAGTCCCGGGCCCGGGAGTAACACTTGAGGGCGTTGCTGAGATCCCCACAGTCCAGATAGTGGTCACCCAGGTCATCATGTCCACGCCTGTGGGTCCGGGCACAAGTGGTCACTGGTTGGGCCATAGGACTGGCTGTCCAACCCCTGACTCCAAGGGCACACCTGAAGCTCTCTTGATGAAGCCCACCCCTCAGCCCCCTGGGCATACCTGATGCTCTCCTTGATAGAATTGCCTTTGTAGTTCTTCAGATCTGTGTCCAACTTCTCCAGCTTCAGCAAGGCCTTCTTTCTCGTGGCCTCCACCCAAGCTGTGTCCAAGGGTGGGGGCTCCACGCCACTCTCAGGGATGGCATCAGGCGCATTCTGCAGCTCCCTGAGGGAGGACCTGGCCATCAGGGGCCCACGTGCAGGGGGGGCGGGTGCCTCCCAGCGGCCCTCACCCCCATCGGGAGAGCGCCCAGGTGGCACAGGGGCAGCTGTGACAGCAGGAGCCCGCAGCCTGGCGGGAAAGCCCAGCAAGAAATAAGTCACACAGCTATGCCGAGAAGCCAGAAGTTGCCGTCTCCACAGGCTCTGCCCAGTGTCAGAACTGCACACGCACACACACGCATGCAGGTGTGGAAAGAGCCTGAATGCTCAGCAGGGAGAGTGAGAATCTCGCCCATTGAGCCATTCCCCACCCCCTCCTAGCTTTTCAACAAGAAAGCCAGATCACTGTGTTCTGGAGCCAAATGCTGCAGGAGCACAAGAAAGGCCTCTGCCTGGGCTCGCCACACACTACACCCTGTCCCTGCCCCACCTTGCTGAGCCCTGGCCTCACCTGGCAGCCTCTGAGAGCTTGCGGTGGATCTCCTCGTACATGTCCACATTGAAAGTCCTCTGCACAAAGGACAGGGCCATCTTCAGGGCCTCCACTCGCAGCGGTGGGCAATGGTCAGCAATGAACTGCAGTCGCTCGATACGCATCAGCCCGCTATAGCTGGCCGCATACTGCTCCAGATCCTGGGGGTGGAGATAGATTGTGCAAGCTGGGACCCTGGACCCCAAGCCCCCAGTGGGTCAGGAGCCGGGACACCTGGGCACCAAATCAGGTCTGGGGTCTGAGGAAAGACCACTCAGGATGGGCCGGTGCAGGGGCCCGGAGTAAAGCTCTGCCCTGGGGGTGAGTGGTCAGAGCCACGTGGGCAGCCAGTCACCAGGCTGAGCAATGAGGCAGGGCTTCCCAAGGGGGGCCCCAAGGAAGAGCTGTCCTCGCAGTGAGACTGGACCTTCAGGGGGCCTGGCACAAGGTGCTCCTCCATGTGGGGGAAAAGCAGCTGCAGGGTCTGGAGGAGGCCAGCAACCCATTAAAAATGGGCAACTAGATATTTTAGTCCATTTGGTGGCAGAGTCAGACACGACTGAGCGACCGAACAACAACAAAGAAAGTCCAAACGCTTCTGAGTTAGAAAAAGATGTGGTCAGGGAGCCTAGCCTGGAATTCCCAGCAGGACTGACACTCCAACCAGTCCCTTGACCCACCCCGGAGGAGAGCCTATCAGATTCCATACCAGGGTCGGGTTCTCCACCACGTAGTTGACATCGGGGGCATTCTGCGGGTCCTCCTGGGGATCCACGTCAATCTGCATGGGCTCTACGGCTCCCTGCAACACGGGCAGTCACCTTGGCACCTTGAGGAGGAGAAGCCCAGAGAGGGCGAGAGGCCCTCACTGTGCCCAGCTCAGCTCTGCCCGCCATCTCTCAGGCGGGCGCGATCCTGTCCCAAGACCCTCCCCACTGCCCACCAAGTCCAGCGCCGCCACACCAGGGATGGGGCTCCTGGCCAGACTGTTGGCTCAAGAGCTGAACGCTCGGCCGGACCATGATGGCCCATCTCTGGGGCGGGAACCAGACGCCGGAGGACCACTACCCAGGGACCCCAAGGGTCGCTACACGCTCCCAGCCACCATTCTGACAGCAGCCTCCTCCAAGCCACGGGCGGCCTCCACCCCGACGCGGCCGAACAGCCGAAGCCGCAGCGCCGGGCGAGTCCCGCGGCTGAACCCGGCCGCAGTAGCGGCCGGGAGACGGGAGTGGGGCACCTGGGCGCCCTGCGCGGCCCGGCGGGCGGGCGGGCGGGCTGGTCCCGGCCCCTGTCCTGGAAGGTACCTCATAAAGCAGCGTACAGGCCGACAGGCTGGCGCTCAGGCTGAAGTCCCCGGCCGTGCCCGGCAGGAAGAGCTCTGACCTACCGCTGGGAGGGGTGCAGTGCACATCTGCCACTGACGACGCGGCCGCGCGGGGGGCCGGGCCACCCCGCATTCTGTCCTGACTCTCTGCACCCCCCGACCCTGACACAGAGCTGGCTGGCTGCTGAAGGAGAGAGAGCGTTAGCGCGCCGGGCCTGCCGGGGCCGACGGGCGGGACGCTGCGGCCGGAGCCCGGGCGCGAGAAGGACGCCGCGCGAGGGGCGCGCACGGCCGGCCCCGCTCCGGCCCGGCGGCGGGAGCGCGGAGGGGCCGCCGGCCGCGGCTCGTTACCTGCAAGTTAAACACCTGAACCGGCAGCGGCATCTTCGCCCACCCCGCCGCGGCGCACCGTCCACTTCCGGGGCAGCGCGGCCGCGACTTCCGGGTCGCAGCGTGGGCGGGGCGGCTCTTAAAGGGGCCGCGGCGCGCCTGGCCGGGCGGTGCCCGCGGGTCCCGCGGCCGCATGAGCCGCGCGCGGGGGGCGCTTTGCCGGGCCTGCCTCGCGCTGGCCGCGGCCCTGGGTGCGCTGCTGCTTTTGCCGTTGCCGCTGCCCCGAGCGCCTGCGCCCGCGCCAGCCACGACCCGGGCCTTGGTCCCCGGCTCCGGCCCGCGCGCGCCCCCTGCCCGGCCCGCCACCGCCCCCCGCCTGCGGCCGGACGACGTCTTCATCGCGGTCAAGACCACCCGAAAAAACCACGGGCCGCGCCTGGGACTACTGCTGCGCACTTGGATCTCCCGGGCCCGACAGCTGGTGGGTCCGCCCGGGGACCCCGCCGACTCCGAAACCCCCGCTGACTCGGGACACCACCACCCCCACCCCAGCCCCCGCCTCTGGCAAACTCGCACGCCCCGAGATCCCCGCTCCTTCATCCTCAAACTTGCATCCTGCCCTGGACCCCACCCAGGATCCACCCCAAGACCCCCTACCCGCAGACGTGTCCCCAGCATGGCTGTCAGACCCCAGGCCTGATGATGCAGGGACCCAGGACCCCCAGTGCCCACCCTCTCCTGCCCCTTCTCAGGCTCTAGTCTTAAGTGGATTCTCCCAGCTTCTGGGCTGAGACCCCAGAAACGCCTCCAGCTAGAGCAAGCCTGGCCCTAGCAGCCCTGGGGATGCTGCAGGTAGAGGAGGCTGTCCCTGGTTCACCACCCTCCCTTCTCCTGGATCCCCAAGCCCAGGCTCGCCTGTCCAGCTTCATTCCCCCTTACCAGGCCAAGGCCCTGCCAGGCCCAGAGTCCCTGGGGTGGGGGGCCGCCCCTTGAAATCTCACAGGCCATCTCTCTGCAGACGTTTATCTTTACTGACGGGGACGACCCTGAACTACAGCTCCAGGGAGGTGAGTGCCCTCCCCAGCCCAACCTTGCTGCTGTGTCTGAGGGGTCTCCTCACCTCTCTCTCGGTCTAGTGCCATGCAGCCCCCTGCTGTGTACACAGGTCCAGAGGAGTTAAGGCACCTGCTTAGAGTCATACAGCTGGTAGAGAACAGAGCCTGGCATCCAGGGTCCACCCTTCCAGCCATGCTCTGGTCACTGGCTGACTTCCCAAGGCCTCTGGCTGGAGCCACGTCCCCTGAAGAAGGGCCAGCAGGGAGCCATGCCTTCCAGGCCTGCCCTGATGGGGATGGTCCAGCCTCTCAGTCCTGTTTCCTGGTGGGTTTGCTTGCATGGGATTCCAAGTGGTTGTCATCTGCCTGGACCTCGGATGGCGGCAACAGGGTCAACTGAGTGAGGCCAAGACAGGACTACCACTGGGTCTGACTTCACGGTCTTGAACAGGACAGGCCTCGTGCCGGCCAGCCAGCAGCATTTAGCCCAAGTTTAGTGGGGTGGGCTGGCAGCAGGTCTCACCCTGGCTTTCATGCTTCCATTTATCCAATGGGCAGGTGGCCACGTCATCAACACCAACTGCTCCGCCGTGCATACCCGCCAGGCTCTGTGCTGCAAGATGTCAGTGGAATACGACAAGTTTATTGAGTCTGGACGCAAGTATGTGGTGGCCCAGGGCCAAGGGAGGCTGGTCCCCAACTTGGGTCAGGGGCTCCCCTGCTCCCACCCTCTGGGCCCAGCCTGGCTCCAGATTTCTACACGTTCCCAGGTGGTTCTGCCACGTGGATGATGACAATTATGTGAACCCCAAAGGCCTGCTGCAGCTGCTGTCCACCTTCTCACCTAGCCAGGACATCTACCTGGGGCGGCCCAGCCTGGACCACCCCATCGAGGCTACTGAGAGGATCCAGGGAGGTGGAACCGTGAGTGCTGGGGCGAAGCGGGCAGGGGCAGCTGAGAGTATGGAGACCCCAGTAAGGAAGGGCTGGGGCTGATGCCCAATCCACCCAGAGGCGGTGTTTTGGTAACTGGGGCAAGTCAGGAGGGGCTGGAGCCACAGGCAAGTGAGTTTTAGAAGCCCTGTCCTCTTGTCCCTTTGGAAGCTTCTGCCCCTGGGCCTGGGAGCAGTTAAGGGACAGCTTAAGGATGACCCTCAGGGTGTCCAGATGAAGACTTAGGGTGACTAACCCTGACTAGTGGCTCCCTCCTTTTCAGGTGACCACGGTCAAGTTCTGGTTCGCTACCGGTGGGGCCGGGTTCTGCCTAAGCAGAGGCCTTGCTCTCAAGATGAGCCCATGGGCCAGGTGATGGAGGCGTGGTGGGAGGGAAGCAGGTGCTGGCTGCTGTGGGTGGGGGGTTGGGGTTCCCCAAGGCTGGAGAGGCACTGACCTGTCCCCCCCTCCACTCCCCAGCCTGGGCGGCTTCATGAGCACAGCCGAGCGGGTGCGGCTGCCAGACGACTGCACGGTGGGCTACATCGTGGAGGGGCTGCTGGGCGCCCGCCTGCTGCATAGCTCACTGTTCCACTCCCACCTGGAGAACCTACAGAAGCTGCCACCTGACACCCTGCTCCAGCAGGTAGGCTGGCTGGGGCTCTGCTGCGTCCATGGCCGGCCCTGCCCCCGTGGCCCCCCCACCCCCGAGCTGAGCAAGGGCTCAGGGAGGGATTCTGGCGAGACACCCGTGGGTCCCAGCATGGCAGCAAAGTTTCGTGGACCTCGAATCCAGGCTGCTGGGACCCCCAGGCTCACATGAGGGCCTGTTGTAAAGAACAGTTGCTGTACCTTCCCAGGGGGCAGCCCTGGGCAGCAGGGCTGGGGACAGTGGTCTGGGTGTGACCAGTGTTACAGACCTGGCCCAGGCAGGGGGCCCAGGCCCTCTCGCCCCTACACTTGTGCCAGCGGCCTCCCCCATGTGTCTGCTGTGCTGGCCATGCCTCTCAGCCCCCATCAGGCCCCATCACCTTTCCGTGGTGTTCCTGAGCTTGCCCTAAGAATACTGACTCCTGGCGGGGCAGCGGGGGCGCTGGAATCCAGGAGGCCAAGCAGCGTCTCTGCTGGAGAACAAGGTAGGAGGCGCCGGCCCTGAGAGTGACTCTGCTTCCTCTCCTCTCCCAGGTCACTTTGAGCTACGGGGGACCAGAGAACCCTCATAACGTGGTGAATGTGGCTGGGGGCTTCAGCCTGCAGCAGGATCCCACACGGTGAGCCGGCGGTGGGGAGGAGTGCTGGGGCCAGCCCACCCCTCCAGCAGCCTGACCCCTGCTTCCCTCCCCAGGTTTAAGTCCATCCACTGCCTTCTCTACCCGGACACGGACTGGTGTCCTGTGCAGAAGCAGAGCCACCTCGCTCCTCGGTGATCCCCGACCCAAAAGCCTGGCTCTGCCCCAGGTGCACGTGGGCGAACAGTGCTGTCCCCGCCTGGGCTCAGTTGGCTACTCCAGGCGGCGACAGCCGGGCCCTCATCCAGGGAGATACGTGCGCCCAGCAGGTGCTCCAGCTGACCGGCAGGCCTCCCCACAGCCCCGGGCGGGCCCGGGTGAGCTGGTGCTGGGGGAGAGGAGGACAGTGCTGGGGGCCTGGGAGGGGGCTGGCATCTGCCTCCCAGGGCTCCATCCTGTTCCCATCTGCTGGAGAGAGGATTCTTGGCCAGGGTCGGGTGTGAGATGCTGCCCCCTAGAGGTGACTGTCGGACGCCTTACTTGCTGTTCTCTTGGGATGCCACCCTTCCCACACCAGGTCTGGAGCCCAGCCAGGGCCTCTGCCTCCACTGGGAACTGCCCACAAGGGTGCAGACCCTCTGGACAGCTGTGCTCTTGGGTGCAGCTTACTCCTGGCCAGGTTGTCTCCATTCAGAGGCCACCTTCTCGGGGTCTCTTGGCCGAGAGGTCCTTCCTGAGGGACCTTGAAGACACTTTTCCTCCACTCTGACTCATTGCTCAGTACTTTCCATCCTTCCCCCCTCCCGGGGGCCACAAGTCCATGAAACAGCAGGAGCCTCTTGTTTGGGCCCCCCTCTGCAGTGAGATGTCCCCATCCCACCAGTCGACCCACATTGACCTTGACAGTGCCTTTCCACAGGAGGAGGAAACAGAACAAGGGGAGCCAGCACCTGCCTTCTGGTCTCTCGCGCTGCTATTGCAACAAGTGAATAAAGGCTTGACTGTTACTGTCTGTTGGTCATTGTGTTAATTAACCAGTGACACCTGGCAGCTCAGCTTCAGAAAGGGCCACACAGCATCCAGCTCCTTCCCATGAAGGCGCTGCCCCGAGACTAGCTCCCTCCCAGGCAGATCTGTGTCCCTTACAGCCTGGCTGGCCCAGCTGAGCCTGAAGCTGCCCACTGGACTCCAGTGTGAGCTGAAGAGTGTATGGGCTGTGGAGGTGGTGTTCCTGCAGGGAATGATGCAATCAAGACAAACCTTGCTCCAGAAGGCAGACTGCCTATTAAGACTTGCCTTTTTAGCATACTGTGGAACTAGAGTGTGTGTGTGCGCCAGCATGCACAGAAGCATACGTTGAGTTCATGTGCCTCTCTCCGTGGGTGTCCACACGTGTGCTTCCATGTATCTGTGAATTGCTGTGTAAATGTATGTATGTGGGTATGAATGCACATAGCTGTGTACATATGGGCAGGTGTGTGTGTATGTGCATAGGGCAGGCCAGCGACACCCGGTAAGCAGGTTGGAGTCAGCATGCACTGGTGGTCAGGCCGAGCGAGGTTCCTTGAAGAGGAGTATACGGCAGGTCACCAGGAAGTGTCCATGTGCAGCAGCCACCCCCCGCCCCATTATGTTCCCAGATGTGGAATATGTAACAGCCCTCAAGACCTAGACATGCACTGAGCCCCCCAGACCACTGGGCATCCACAGAGCACAGAACCAGGATAGCACCAGTTGGACCAAAATATCCCTCCTCTGGCTGGAGCCACCTCAGGCCTGGATCTCTGGGCCAGAGCCACCTCAAAGGTACAGACTCCTCTCTTACCGGGTCCAGAGGAACAGTCACCCCCAAGCCGCCGAACCACCTCCAAGGGGTGGTGGGACTGGCGGGCACCCCCAGGCTGCAGCATGGTCTGCCAGAATGGGTGGACCATGTAGTGTTCAGAGAGAAAAAAGCCTCGAAAACACACAAAAATGTTTACATGCGATTGTTCCTGAAAAAGACTGCAAAATTGGTAAAAATGTTTTTTTCCTCTTCCTTTGTTGTTCAGTTGCTCAGTCGTGTCCAACTCTTTGTGACCCCAAGGACTGCAGCATGCCAGTTTCCCCTGTCCTTCACTATCTTCCAAACTGTGCTCAGATTCACATCCATCAAGTTGGTGATGCATCTGTTTCATCCTCTGCCACCCGCTTCTCCTTTTGCCTTCAATCTTTCCCAGCATCAGCATCTTTTCCAATGAGTCGGCTGTTCGCATCAGGTGGCCAAAGTATTGGAACTTCAGCTTCAGCATCAGTCCTTCCAATGAATATTCAGGGTTGATTTCCTTGAGGGTTGACTTGTTTTCTCTTCCTACTTTTTGATAGTCTACAAATACCAAAATATGTTCTATGATAGACATATACTATGTATAATCAGAAAAAGTTAAATTTTTGTAACTAAGGTTCAGAATTAAATTGTGTGTACTTGACCCTCCATCTGACATTTTTTTGGACAACTGTTTACTAAGCATCAGTCCATCCCACATCACTGCATGCCAGAGGAATGATGATCTGCAAAATAAACCAGCTCTTGAGGCTGGAGAGAGCCGGCGTGTATGTGATGTAACAGCTGATGAGTATGAGCTTTCTTTGAAGTAAAGTGAAGTGAGTCACTCAGTCCTGTCCAACTCTTTGCGACCCCATGGACTGTACGGTCCATGAATTCTCCAGGCCAGAATGCTGGAGTAGGTAGCTGTTCACTCCTCCCGGGGATTTTCCCAACCCAGGGATCGAACCCAGGTCTACCTATATTGCAGGCGGATTCCTTTTTTTTTGCAGGTGGATTCTTTACCAGCTGAGCCACAAGGGAAGCCCTAAGCTTCCATTGAAAAGAGTCAATCCTCATTATACTCCATGTTTCAAATTCACCCACATAATAAAACTTATTTGTAACCCTCAAATCAATACTTACTTTCCTGGTCATTCTCAGACAAACAGTGGTGAAAATTTTGAGTCATCAGATGTGTCCGTCCCCTGCTGAGGTTGAACTAGGTGAGACTCCACCCCAGAGATACCCAGAGGATGAAGACAGCAGAGGGCAGTGCAGAGTAAAGCAAGAAACTCAATGGGAACTAACTTCATTCTAGAATTAGACTTTGTTGATAGTTACAAAATTTTGTGAATGTAATAACAACAAAAAAACTCTAGTGAATTATATACTTCAAGACTGTATGCTTTTTGATATGAGTGATGTCTCAATAAAAATGTTATTTAAAATGTAAGCCAAGATGAAATTAAAAATTGAAATAGTCCTATATTTATTACATAATTTGAATTTAACAAAAATATTCCCATAAAAAAGTCTCCAGGATCAGATGGTCTCATTGGTGAATTCTATCAAACATTTGGGGGAGGAATATCATCAATCTTAGGATCTTCCAGAAAATAGATGAGAACAGTTCCCAGATCATTTCATGAGGCCAGCATTACTCTGGTACCAAAATCAGACAAACACATTACCAAAAAAACTGACCAGTTGAATCTAAATTTCACATGAGGGACTTCCCCTAGTGGTCCAGTGGCTAAGACTCTGCACTCCTAAGGCAGGGAGGCTGGGGTTCCATCCCTGATCAGGGAAATAGATCCTGCATGCTGCAAAGAAGATCAAAGGCCCTACGAGCCACAACTAAGACCAAGCTCAGCCAAATAAATAATTTTTTTTCAAAAGCAAATTTGAAAAAGAACAAAGTTGAAGGATTTACACAACCTGATGTCAAGACCTACTATGAGACGTTGATGAAAAATTAATCTGTTGATCTATGAAAGAAATAGAAATTTTTATTTGAGCCAAATTTGAGGATTATAAGCCAGGAGGAGCATCTCAGAAAGCTCTGAGAACCATCTGTTAGATGTCAAGGCATAGTTCTATAAGTTTTTTGAGACAGAGGGCCATACATCAAATGACGTATTTTTAAAATACTTATTAACGAGCCAATTTATTTGGCTGCGTTTGGGCCTTAGTTGCAGAACGCGGAATCTTCCTTGCGGCACAGAGGCTTTCTATTCCTGCCTCTTTGGCACAGTAGTCTCAGTGCTCTGACTTAGTTTCTCCACTGCGTGTGGGATCTTAGTTCCCTGACCAGGGAGCAAACCCGTGGCACTTCCATTGCAAGGTGGATTCTTAACCACTGCACCACCAGTAGTTTAGTCACTAAGTCGTGTCTGACTCTTGTTACCCCATAGACTCCGTAGCCCACCAGACTCCTCTGTCCGTGGCATTTTCTAGGCAAGAATACTGGAGTGGGTTGCCATTTCCTTCTCCAAAGGATCTTCCCAATCCAGGGATCAAACCCAGGTCTCCTGCGCTGCAGGCAGATTCTTTACTGACTGAACCGCACCACCAGGGAAGACCCCAAATGACGGAAGATTGACAGTTTACATGATCCAGATCTAAGTGTCATGCTAGTAAGTCACGTGACCCCATACAAGATGAAGAAGAATGCTGTCTCTTCAGGAGTTGTCTAGTTGATGCTGGGAGAATGTTGCTCTTCATAGTTGAACTGGTATTGCTGCTGATGGGGGAGGTTTGGTTGATGCATAACGCAGACACAGAATGCACAGTGAGGGGAGAATGTAGGCCAAAGGGCAGAGAAGATTTTTTGTTTAAATATCTCATCTTGCCATAAAAATATGACTTCTATTTCACAAAGCTACAGTATGGAGACTGTGGCACTGGCACTGGGACCAACAGATGGATCCATGGGACATGCAGCAGAACCCAGTCACAGATATACGCTTCTGCCATCATAAGTGTTCCCAATAGAGTCATCAGAGCAATTTAAGGGGAAAAGTCTTTTCAGAAAATGGTGCCAGAATTAGTTTACTAATTAATTTTTTATAATTAAAAAAAAAGCCAACTTGGAGAAAGTACTAGTCAGGATGAGCTAGGCTGTGCTGCAGAAACCACTAAGCCCTGTAAGTAAATTTGTCCGTATCACACTGTGATAAGCACGGGTGGCTCTCTTCTAATTGGTGAGTCAGGAACTCAGGCTGCTTCTATCTTCAGGCCCCAGCATCTTGTAGTTTAAATCCCCCTTAGATCGTCCAGGTGAAATGGAGGAGAAAGTGGAATGAAGGCACACCAGATCCACACCACCTGAGCCCAAAAGTGACATTAATTTCTCACATTTCACTGGCTGAAAGAAATCACAGGGCCACCA